TGATTTGATTTGATCTGATTGATCTACTGCTCATCCTCTTAGGCTTGTATCCATTTCCATAGTAGCCGGCAAGTAAAAGCAGTACAACACAGCCTAATTTGAAATTCAACAGCCTAATATTAATAATAATTTAATGCTTATATGGAGCATGTTATATATTCAAAGAATTGTACAAATATTAACCAACCAATACAAACTAATGTTATTCCTTTACTATCTTATTATATTAATGAAGCATAATAATTATTCTCCATGTACTCTTTCATGTTTCTAGTTCTTTGCATTTTAGCATTTTATGGCAAACTCTGGAGATCAATTTGTACAGCTAAGAAAGATGCATACATGCATAATGCATTTTACAAACTCCTTCTTAAATAGTGTCTACTTCCAAATGTAGACAAAAGGTCTTAAAATTATACATCCCATAAAGATTCGGTCTTTGTGATATCGTGAATTAGATATTGATAGAACCAAAAGAATTTCAGGTAAAATTAGAGTTGGTCAGAATTTTCCTGAGACAAATTTACTGTCAGAGAATGACAGTCTCTCAAAAATCCTCAGATATACACTCCAGTTTTTCTGTGGAAGGAAAGCTCTGAGACAGAGCTCAAGGGCATCCAGCTCAGAGTAGCCCAGTAGATTTATGGGTCCAGTGTAGCAAATTCTTTCTCCGCCCAGGGCTGGACCTGGAAAGATGCCTTTCCAACTTTCTCAGCATGGATCTGGAAACTTTCTGATCCCTTGCAAGTCTGAGTATTTTATATTTTAATTTTAGCCTTCAAGCGTGCTTATGAGCCACTGTCCCTGATTGCTCACGCTTCCTGCATGCTGAATCATGATCAGGCTTCTGAATCCAGGATAAGCCAGCTACATCTGCTGATGGGGAAATCTGGAGATAAAAGAACAGATAGAGAGTCCCTTGTGCCCAAGCACTACCCTGTAGTCAGAATCAGCTGCAACAAGGACTTAAAGCCAAGTTGAGTTTCAGCACAGTTACTAACAGCATCAGTGCATTTTTTTTTCTGACATCTGGACTTTGCTCTTGACAGGGGCAATCAAAATTTGTCCATTCCGACAGCTCAGAAATCTTAGAGAAAAAAGACTGAACCAGGAATTTTGGAATTTCAGGTCTAAATGAAACATTCTATGTTATAATTTTGAAAGAAATACTTTTCAGTTTGGGTTGTTTGTATTTCTTTTTAAGTCTGTCTGGAGATTGGAGATTTGAGGTTTTTTTCCATGCTGAAGCACATTATTTGTGTCCAAAATTTCAGATTACTGAAAGACAGGAACTCTAATTTCCAAGAAGAAGGAAGTAAAATCCAGTAAGCTTTGTGACAAAGATTTTCTTTCCCTTGTTTAAACCTTTAGCCAATTTTTGAGGAGAGTGATGGGCAGAAAAGTGGGGTTTTGAAGTGATATTACAGATCAAGTTGGTAAATCATTGTATTGAACAGTTGTGAAAAATTAATAATGGCCAGTTCATTGACTTCGTGTTTTGAAGATGTAAATATGATAGGAATACTAAGTATAATTACCCCCATGCCTTATATTTTATATAAGGTTTCCAGCAGTTTGCCCATTGGCTCCAGTGGCCTGGACACTTCACAGTTTGCCTAAATAATTACATTCTACCTACTTACATTTTTGTCTATAATTTCAACTGTTTATGTTATTTGTCATTTCCTGTTACGAGGTGATTCTGGGGCCTACTAATTCCTTCATTTCAATTCATAGTTTAAGTCATTAAGTCCCTGTCATGGTTTGAGACCTCCAAAATCCTAATTCCCTAGTCTAAGCCCCCTCCTAAGTGAACATCTCTCTGAAACATTTGTGCCTCATGGTATGGCAGGCAGCATTATATTGAGTCTTTCTGTTCTCCACTTAATCCAATAGAAGTCCAGATTCAATGACACTGAGAACACATTAGAAATCTTTCCTTTCACACTTAGTTTTTCCTAAACAGTAAGGTCAACAGGTTCCTATGGAAGACCATTCACTTTATGGCCTGCCTTGTAGAAAAAGGATACCCTGTAATTGACACACAGACAAATATCTAAAAATATTCCTCTGATTTGATTACTTTTAGGGTGGTTCCTAACTAAACTAATAAAAATTCCCTGTGATAAACACAAAGTGAAAAATAGCTGCACAAGTTGCATCTGAAAAGCAGAAGTCTGAAAGTCATGCAGACCCTGACTTTATCCCTGTAAGTATGTGTTTTAGTGACTCTGTCCCTTTGGGGTTTTTGCTTTGCTTTCTTTTTAAACTGTTAAAAAACATCTTTACTTGGGGTCTCGAAGCTTAATTAAGCAGGTATTATAAAGGACTTTTTAAAGATTAATATAACTGCCAAGCTTTTTTATGAATCAATTTCATCACTAGCTCCAGTTTGCTAGCAAGCTCCTTGTACAAACCTCTCAATATATTGCTGTTATTGCCACATCTTCACTTAGGAGACCCACCTGTTTATCCAGCTTTTACACTACAAGGAATGGCACAGACTCTTCAGCTTCACAGCTCTGATCCTGCTGTACTTGGCTGTGTCAAATGCTTTTGACTGTGCTCCTGTCTCTTCTTCAATCATCCCCTAAGCCCATAACAACAATCTAACCCACTGCATACTGGATGTGATTTCTAGCTCGCCCTTCACATGTTCTTACTCTCTTACTGCCTCACTAAGTGAACAGAAGGATTAAAGAAGAAATCCTAGTTTTTACGGTGCTTGGCATAGCTCTACATGTATTTGAGATACTCACTTCTGAGCTAGGTGATAAAGTTCATCCTGGTCTGATCCCAATTTTGCTATCAGCTGCCTTAGGAAGCCTTACTTCACAAGGTAAAATGGAAAAGAGAAAATTATGCAGAGGAAGGGAACAGCTGGTGCACTCCTACACATGTGCAAGAGCCCAGATGCACAAACATTTGGACCTGTAATTATAGAAGCTTGGCAGCTTTAGTTCCTTGCAAGATTTAGTGTGAATGAGGACTGGATGAACCACATTGTCCTCAGAATCTTGTGTGCATTGCTCATACTATCTTTATATATACTGAAGATGGGTGGACATGGGTATAAATATTTTCATTGACAAGAACGTGCTTATATAGGTCAGTAAGCAGACAGTGGCTCTGAAATCTTGACTTTAATGATAAATCCTCAGTCTGCCTTTGGAATAACATAAGAAATTACAGGAAGTAAGAGGAATGAGGAAATGGCAGGTGCTATTTCTGAATTTGCATTTATCCACCTCTCATAAGTACAGTAACATCTTGAAATTACATACAATTTATACTGCGCTCTGTATACTAAGTTCTTGGGGACTTGCACCTTCACAACTAGACTTCATAATGTCATCGCATGAGATGCTGAAAAGTACGTATTTGTAACAGTTTAGGTTTTAAGAATAAATGGGGATTTGAAATGTAGTATTGTGTCCTGGATCTGTTCTGGTATATTTGAGCTGTCTTTTGATGGTGGGAAACAAATGAACTACTGGAGAATGAATGAAAATATTCTCCTTTTACCCCTCGTCTGGACTGGACTCAGTGAATTTACAAATGTGCAGTTAAGCTAAATTACATACTACTCTCAATTTAAACTGTTTCTTGTTCAGTGTGTATGTAAAGGTTAAAAGTTTCTGCATTAACAAACCTACAGAATACTTTCATGGTATGAATATATCTCAAATCAGAAAGACTTTTGTTACATGTTTTTGAGAACTTAGGGATATAACATTTTTTATTGCAACTGATTTTTTTTTAAAATCTCATATTTCAACTTGGTATTACTTATTTTTTACTGTTTATTGTACAGGAAGTAGTCTTGATGAGAATTCCAGAAACTTTAAGTTCTTAATTAGATTTATAGATTTTCAAGTTTTAACTCTCCAGAAAACACAGATCTTTGATAGCATTTACAGGATTAATACATTAGGTGCCAAAAAGTTTAATTTAAAAAATAATAGTGGAAACCGACGCAATTTTCCAGATATACTATGAAAATATCAGATAACTTTTGGATATTATGCAAGAAGTTTCTTCTACTAATTAAATCTAAATGTACAACCATTAAAGAATCTAAGAAGCCTGTTAAATGAGCTTAAGTTTCAGAAGAGTTTAAAACATTTAAAAAATATATTAAAATAAAAAGCATAATATTTCTTATAAACCAGTCCCCACAGCTGCCTTAATTTATATGTAGACTTTAGATTTTCTTCCAAGGAATCTAAAAACTTCTGTATGATATATAAAATCCTTTTCAAAGTGAGAATATTTTAAGTGTAGACAATATATCCATGATTTGCTCATTGTTTAAGTGGCCTTTTAAAGCTGGATCTTAACATGCTAATGCCCATTTAATTTCTTGCAGCCTTGGCATTTTTTCTGCATCTGTTGATATCATCAACACACAACACCTAGGAAAAGGAAGTTCTATATCCAAATCCAAGAAAGAGTGATTATGAATTCAATACGCCAGCAGAGAAATTCAAACAGAGGTCAAGTATCCTGTATCCTATTAATGTGTCAGATTGCTATGTCATCCAGGGCTTGTTTTCAGTCATCTCAGTTCAACTTTAGGAGATTTTTTAGACACATCTGTTTTTTGGTTTAAATTTTTAAAAAGACAATTTCTAAAAAATGGTGTTTTTATAAATCACACACAGTAACATCCAGCTTTGAGGGAAACCAGGTTAGCAAAATTCTGTCCATACTGAGATAAGCTGAAAATCTCAGTTATCTTCCATCATGGTTAAAGCAGATTTTGTACTTTATTCCCTTTTTCCAACATTGTTTTGTAGAAACTGTTTCTTTAAGAATAAACCACTCCCCTTCACCAGAGCCACATAGCGGGGGCAAAAGAGGAAGATCCTGCCAGGAAGGAACCAGAACTCCCACCACCTTTGACCGTGTGTTTTTTCGGTCGGGCATAGAGAGGTAGCAGCCACCATCCTGCCTTCTCTTAGGAGTTGGGAGAATCCTAACTGTTGCCGAAACCTGCGAGCTGTAACTATTGCTGGGTTCAAGGGAGGGTTCCAGGCACCCGGGAAGTACTGCTTTTTCCCTGCTGCCACCAGTTCCAGAGAAGGAAAGAACAGTCCAACCTGGCAATCCCTGATAAGGTATTCTTTCAAAGCTGTTGAAATCAGTGGCAGAATTGATTAATCTTAGTGGAATCTTTGCTCTTTTTTTAAAGAAAGAAAGGCATGAGAGGAATGGGAAACTAGAAAATATCTATGTAGTTACCATGTGAAGTTCCATATCACCTTCATTTCTGACGTGAATTAGCCTGTTTCTTTGTAGAGCCAGCCCTGTAACACATTGATGTAACCAATGAAAGAATCAACCTTAATGTTTAGATTCAGATTGCAAAACCGAATAAATAATTAGAAATTTAGGTTTATTGATGTACTTCCCGCCCCCCCTCCCCCCATGAATTATTGTGTAGTCTACAGACTTGCTAGAAAGTTGTACCATACTGTTTAAAATGTTGTCTGTAGACTTCCCAGGAGGGAACACAACTGCCTTCTCTTTTTATTTAAAGCAACAGTAATATTCCTGGCATAACCTAAAACCATCACATTAGATATAGGTCTCTCTCAGTGGATCACTACTGAAAAAGACATTTTCTAGAAAGATTTTAGTGCTGAAGGAAGCAGTTCACGATTTGCTTCAAAGGCAATATACCTTTGTATGTTTTTTGGTTATACCTTTCATTGGAATTTTGAAGGAGAATATAACATAGCATGAAGGCTGAATAAAATTTGTCTTTGGTCTTGTTCCTACTGTGTGCTGCATTTTGCTTCTAATAACATTGAGATTCTCATAAACTAATCACCCATTGGGCCCTAGATGTGATCTGATAGAAACAAAAATATAGGACAAGAGAAGAACAACAACAAAGGCAAGAAACAGGTGGTATGTCCCCTGACATGTGGATTGGTGATCTTCTAATCGTGCACTGCAAATGAATATTGTATGCTCAGGTGGAAATAAACATTATTGATAGGCCTTGCTTGATATCTCTGATCCATATGACTATTCTTCCCATGTTTGATAAATAATGGGGAGCATTTTAACTTTGAAAGGGGCTGGGAAAACTTCAGAGAGATAAAGGTCCATCAGTGAACAATGTCTATTAGGTAGTCTGTACTATGACAATGACTGATGTCGGGGTGAATGACCTTGAAATTTGCTTTTCAAATCTATTTGCCTGATAGAAATCTAGGTGACCTCAGAAAAGTATTGGGTTTTTTTCTCGTATATATTTACACAGTATCGTTTGCATCCTCTCTACTTACAGCTCAACTTCCTACTTCTCTTGGAGCATTACTTTAATATTTTAACCTGTAACTGTACATAGGGCTTATGAAATATTAATAGCATTTATATTAAAGAAAGTTGTGTCTGCATGGTTCTACATATGTTTTGACATGAGAGCCCCAGGAAAAGAAGAAATTTATTTGACTTTCATAAGAACTTCATGATATAGCACCTTTCCCAACTTAGCCATGTGTAGACCAAACTGCAACAGCTTTACTTCAGCAAATGGTGAAATAGACAAAATAATGTTCTGTATTTAAAATTTTCCTCAAATCCTCCCTGCACACACTTCACAATAGAGCTGTTTTATCTGTGAAGCAAAATAGGACTATCATAGAATATGTCATGCCTTTAAAACAAGTTACCCGTAATACTTCCCATGCTAACTGACTGAATGTTTTCTGGTTTTCCATCAACACAGACAATAAACAAAAAGGGAAACAAAAAAAGGAAAAAGAAAGCTACACAAGCAAATCAGCAAGAACATAATAAACTCACTTTGAACAGTGACAGCTTGAATGGATAATCAGGACTTTCCAAATAATTCATGTTTAATATGAAACCAGAGGATTTAATAATTTGTCATGTATAAAAGATGCCCTTAAATCAACTTCTGTTCAAATAAGTTGTTTTTCAGATAAGAGACAATGAGATTTGAGAATTACAGCCAAATTGTCTCATAGGCACATGAAGTCAGTTCACACTCCATTTAAATGTATTATTCCTACGCAAAGTTTTGTATTTAAATCTGTTTTCCCATAAGAAAGGAATTACTAGAAGGTTATAGGAAGCACAGTCTCAAGTGCTGTACACAAGTAGGAGTTAATCATTTAACTGCAATATGAATAACGTGTCCAAATTTCAGATCCCAAAAAACCTCTTTCAGTTTCATTCAAGTCCTCAAGGAGACACCTATGTTTTTGACATTACCCCACTCCAGACAGCTACAGTTCAGCTCTGGGCCTCTCAGGAGAGACAGTCTTTACTGCATTTGCTGCATTGGGCAGACCAGAATTTCGTTGTGATTCACTGTCTGTGCTCCACACACCTTGCCTGGGAAGTTGAAGCTGCTAAACCTATATTTATTAACTTGTGGAGTCTGCAGATGTGTCATTCACGACATGCAAGAGGGAGCTCTGGTGAATGGCTGTAATGCCTCCCCCACAAAATGAAAAGTCAGGCTAACAGTAGTTCTGACTGTGTTAACAAGACAAATAAAGGTGACAGTATGTGAAAACAAAGGTAATATCACTATCCAAAGTTTAGCATTATTTTATTTGCTTTTAATGAAAGTCATTGCACAAAACAGTCTGAAATAGTCTGCAGATATTTTGGAGAGAAGGGTCGAAAATATCCATAGTTTGCAAGTTATTGGAAATGATGCTCATCCTCAGTGGCAGATTTTGCAGAAAGCAAATCCAAATGTGCTCATGAGCTACATTTTCAGCAGTAGGGCTTGCCTTTACATAATGGGATGAAGAAAAATAAAAATATTAAGAAAACTTAATATTTTAATCTGAATGTTATTAAAAGAGTACCTTCATTGCCACAATGTTAATTGACACATTTAATTTAATGTAAATATAGCCCATATGCTTTAAAGAAATGTAAGCTATAGTCTTTCCTGGAAGCCAAATTAGCAGCTCCACTGGAGTCAATGGCATTGATATTTTCATTTCACAAAGGCCAGAAATTCAACCCGATACCACCAAAATTTCTGATTGCATGGAGAAATATTTTATGGCTCCAAAAGCAATTTTATTATTAATATTGCCACCCAGTGCATTCCAGATGAATTGTTTCAGTCTTTGTCCTGTTTTAGCTTAAGACACAGATTTTTCTTTTAGTAAATTATAGTCAGTGTTAGAGTTGGCTAGAATCTGATTTTATTAGAACGTGGAAATATTTTTTTTTTGTAAACGGAGTATTACAGCATTTAAAAAATCATATTTAGTGCTAAATGTCTATTTTTGACATCTATCAACAATTTTTATTTGGGGGCTGAAGTTTTCATCACACTCAATAAAAAACTATGTGCTTTTATGAAATGTTAATCTAAAAGCATGTCAGATCTGTCTGGAAGGCAACCAGTAGATTAAAGAACTAAGATGAACACTAGGGATTTCTTATTAACTATATTTTCCTCTCGTTCTTACTATAAATAACTTTGCTCCTGTTTTATATTTAAAATAAATTTCCACTGTTTTGACTTCTCAATTTAAATCAATATATAAAAACACATACTGATTTAATAAGATAGAGATCAGTTGCAGAATATTTAATTCTTCATTGGCTTTCACTGGATGTAGCTTGAACATGCATCACTCTCAAACTATTTTTAAGACTGGCAATTTTGAAGACACTAAGGAGAGAAATCCCATACCAACCCCCTTTTAAATTATTTGACAAATATGCGTTGGGATTAAACTTGCCACAATTGGAGATGCACAGGTTGTAAAGTGAGTTGCACTGAACCATCTGAATGTAATAAAAATTACTTAATCTCCAGGACAAGCAATCCTTCAATTACCAACCAAAACCTGGGCTTGAATGTTAGTTATGTAATAGTATATCTGTTATTTGTCAGGAAACCCTACCAGAAGAATTTCTTTTTCTTTGCAGATATAAATATGAAACACATGCATCAGACACAGATAGAGGAGTCATTTCTTTTCACGTCTGCAAACTGAATTTCCGTGCCTGATATATCCCTTCTGCAAATGGTTTGTACTCTGGGAGGGGTCTTTCAAAAGGTTTTAACAGTTCTGAAGTTGCACAATGAGGAGAAGATACTCCTTCTCCAGAGTTATGTTATATTTTCGTGGATTGTGGCCACATGCCAAAGGGCTTAGTAGCCATTATTCTGAGTCTCCAAGTGATTTCTGGGGATTAAGTGCAAAATAATTGCTTTGAACAGATCATTTCACCCTGACGTTAATTTTCCCATAGGACTTGTGAAGCAGGAAACTTTACAGTCTACCTTTCTGATCCTGGGGAAACGTGATTGCAATGCCTCAGTTTAATTTTTGACACAGTTCTTTGATACTATAGTGATTCCATGAAATCCTCATGATAATTCTTTTACTTTATAGTTTTATTATTGTTTAGAACCAATCAAATCCTTTCCTTTAGTTAATTATTTTGCTGCACAGAGGTTGTTGAAACTCTCGCTTTAGGTTTGGGGTTTTGGGTGAGCTGGACACAGCCCAGGAACTATTTTGGGGATGAATTCATCAGTCTGTCATTACCAGTGGAGCCTAATTTCTCTGGCAATGAGGCCATCTGCAGTAGATGCACACATGACCATGACCGCTATGTGCTCATAGGTAAATGTGGTTGTAGAGACTTTAGGAGACCTCTTTTATTCCCGAGGTCTGTCGTAGATTTTGTGGTTATGTTTATCCTTGCAAGCTATACAGGGTGAGGACATGGGCTTGATGCTCAGCATTACCTGTGCTGTTCAAGTGTTGCCATATACCTCATTAGCGTTTTGGCCTAGACCAGCTAGTACGGTCCCACACAACAAGGGAACCATGTGTGAGTGACAGAATGGCCTCCAGATTGGTCTGAGTATGCCATCATCTTTTGGGAGGAAGTGTTTAGCTGTATGAGATGTACCAGGTGTCTGAGACCTGTCAATAAGCATAGGGTGTTTTTGTTACCTGCAGACAGGAAGGGATCCAGCATCCTTTGTCTCCTCTGAGAACACTGCCATAGTCATGGGACATGACTCCTCTCTTAAACGGTAGCTTTATGAATCTGCCAAAATGTTGGGAAATCTCCTTGATTCCTGTTCAAAATAATGACAATAACACTCCCAGCAAAATATGTTTCTGTTGTATCGGGTTAGAACTCTTGTTAGAGCATCAGTGTCTCTATAAATTTTGTTCAATGGGGCCCTAATCTTGCTCTTATCCTGATGTGATACATTAATGGATGTTTGTAATACACTGTTGTTTACACACATGCTATTTCTACGTTCAACTCACTCTCTTACCAAGTTCTGGGCAGTTTTATGGGGCACAGATATATTTTCCCTTCAACTTTTGAAGCTTGTATTTCTTTTGGGAGCAGGGAGAAGTGGGGACTGCAGCAGTGGCTTCTGTGAGAAGACACCAGAAGCTGCCCTTGTTGTCCAATAGAGCCAATGCCAGCCATTTCCTAGAGGAACCCGCTGCTGGCCAAGGCCAAGCCCATCCATAATGGTGGTAGCACCTCTGGGATTGCAGATTCCCCTGCAACCTGTAGTAAAGACCATGGTGAGGCAGGCTGTCTTCCTGGAGCCCATGGAGATCCACAGTGACACAGAGATCCACTTGCAGCCTGTGGAGGACCCCACACTGCAGCATCTGGATGTGTCCTGAATGAAGCTGTGATCTTGGAGACAACCTGTACTGGAACAGGCTCCTTGCAGGACCTGTGGCCCTGTGGGGAGAGGAGGCCATGCTGGTGCAGGCTCCTAGCAGGACTTGTAGTTCCATGGAGAATGAAACCCATGCTGGAGCAGCTTGTGAAGAACTTCAGCCCCTGGGAAGAACTCCTGTTGGAGAAGTTCCAACTGCCTCCTGTGGGAGAGATCCCATACTGAAGATGGGAAAGAATGTAAAGTGGAATGAGCAGCAGAGAAAGAGTTATGAACTGACTGAAACTCCCATTCCCTGTTCCCCTGCACTGCTCTGGCACAGGAGGTAGAAAAATTGGGAGTGACATTTAATCTGGGAAAAAGAAGTGATGGAGGCAAGGTGTTTTTAGGTTTCTCATTATCCTACTCTCATGGATTGGCAATAAATTAAAGTACTTTCCCCAAGTCAAGTTTGTTTTGCCTGTAATGGTAACTGGGTGATATATCCCTGTCCTTATCTTGACTCACAAGCCTTTTGTCCCTTTTTGTCTCTCTGTCCTGTTGAGAAGGGGAAGCAATGGAACAGCTTGGTGGGTGCCTGACAGTCAACCAGGGTCAACCCATCACAAGTGTCTACAGTAAGATATTTGAAACATTGTTAGAAGACAATGTTCACTAAAACATCTAGAAAGTAATCATAGAAAGACAATGATCACAACTTTTGCCAATAGTCATTAGTCTTCTTTTGAGCTGTTATTGTTGAACAATGCAGTGGATTGCCATCTCTCTTTCCTAATAATTTCATTTCTTGTTTTTGAAAGCTTGATGACAGCAGCAGCTGTTATATGACTGAATACCTATCCATGCACAGTTGGACAACGGGTAACAGAGTTCATTTAGAAAAGCAATTTTGAACACTAGAAGCTACCTGGAACTCCAGCTTGGCTAACTTATCTACTCAGAAGTTAAACTACATTATTTATGGACAATCTACTGTAAGAAAACAAACAAACTAGCATATAGGCATATTGGCTTCTTTCTGTCTGCAATATACTGTGGAACTTGTAAAATGTGCTCATTTTTTAACCTTTTGGAAAACCAAACCAAAAAATTGTCTTCTATAGAAAATTTAAATTTTGTTTCTACAAAATATTTTAATTTGTTGCCTGAAATTCAAAAATAGATTTAAACAAAACTAATTCCTTTCTTAATTGGCAATTTCCCATATTCACTAGATCCTGTGGTTATTAGTATGTTAGTAATAGGTTAGTAATAGAGTTCTTTTGACCTACAAAATGATTGGAAAAGATTTAAAAAAAAAAAAAAAGAAAAAATGACAGACAAACCATAAGTTAACAATCCAAACAGGCTGACAAACAGGGAAGGTAAATTATAAAAATGAAAATAATAAATGAACAGGATTTAACTGTTGTAAATGAATGTATGAGACTGTGGTGAGACTCTAAAAAGCAATGCTTAGATTTTTTTGCAGAAAGGTTAAGTGGCCCTTGAATTTAAAAAGGTTCAGAAACACTTCTCTAAGACATGGACTGTTGAGATTATAAAGACCCTTTACCAGGGGTTAATGGCTGTCTTTCAAAGTGTAATTAGCTGATTCAGAAACTGCATTTCATAGAGATCTCAAGTTCTGTTTTGTTTCAGTCTTATTTTGATGCCTTTCAAGCAATGGTTAGTTTTTTCTGAGAGTCATTAGTTAATGGCAGATCTCTACATCCTCTGTCACTCAGATGTACAAGGAATAGTGAAAAGAAGATTATTTGACGAAAACAATTATATAGAATAAGTTCTCTGAAAGACTGATTTGAGTATCTATCTCTAGATCTTGGTCAGGTTTGATAGAAGTGATTTTTTTTTTTTGAGGTCAGGTTTGATAGAAGTTTGTTTTTCTTTTTTTTTTTTTTGAGCTTGGAAGCAAAGTGGTGGGGCAGCCCAAAAAACCATAGAAGGTTTTGGCAGCTTGTGGTGAATGACTCCTAAGAGTAGCTAAAGCCCAAAGTCAGTCAGCTGCACAGATTCAGCAGGGAGCTTTCAGAAAGAATTGCCTCCAAAGAGGCACATTCAGCAGCTTATTTGGCTCTGCATTACAAGCTGGAAAAGATTAAACTTTTTGGGTTTGCTATCCTCAATTTGTTATATGATTTAAATGGTTGATTCTAACAGCTATTTGCATTTTTAGGAATATACAGATTGCTATCAGAAAGTCACCTGTTGGAAACATTTACTAGATCATGATATCTGAAATATAATGTTTCTCAGTCCTTAGAATAGGAAATAACTATAGTCTCACAGATACTGTGATACAGCAATTGCTGGCAAATTATGATTTACTTTTTTTTAGATAGTAACCACAGTGGCCAGTAATTATAGACAGAAATAATGGAATTACCATACTAACTGTTTTATTTGCTTCAGAGTAAAAATTATATACTGTCATTTACTGTATATGAAGCTATATGAACTATCCTGAATCAACAGTTGATTAGTCTCAAAAATAAACTGTATTACCAATCCTTTTCTTCTGAAGAAATGAAAGAAGCTATAGTTATTTAACGATTTTGTATCTTGATGGGGTGAACTTAGAAAAGTTTTTAATTATTCATTTCCCGAGAGACAGCCTGTAGCATTTTGCAATGTGTGTGTGGGCAGGACCTTCTCAGCCCTGCAGCTTGTATTAGGATCTGCCTGTAAAAGTATCTTCCTTGGCTTCTCACTGATTTTTTTTTTTTGCATAAGGATGAACTTGAATTTTGGATGAAGCATTTTTATCACAAATATCTGACCCTGAACACTTCTGGGACTTTGACATCACCTTGTCAGAGCTAAACCAATACAGCATGTCTGCCATTAGTTTTACTAATGTTTTTGTAAAGCCTTTAACCTCAAAACCAGCACTCTCCAGACATCTTACTTGTCCTTCAATTAAGTTATTCTGACACAAAATTGCAGGAAGTGAAAGATGAAGGCCTATGGTATTGTTACTGATATTGGATAATAATGTAACTATGCTACTGTTTTCATTATCTGTAATCCAAATAATTTAAAAGAACATTTGTTTTAAATTTTTATCTTGAAAGAAGTTGATAAAGGGACACTATTACCCATTTTAGGGGTAACATTAAACTGTAGGGGTAACAGTTTGTAACCCAATTTTAAGGATATTAGAGAAATAAAATTTAAAAAAAAAAGCATCTGGCATATAGCAAATCATCCTATATGTCAATATTTTATACTCTTCAAAAACTAATTTTGCATTTATAAGGAAGATTTCCATGATGGATTTTATTTTTCTGAAAATGATTTTCAGTTGTTTCTCTATAGAACTGGACATATTTGGAAGGGCTACCATGAACAAAATCTGAC